AGTTTGGGCTCTGCACTGTGGTGTTTCAATCCAGCCTAGACATAAAGGGTAGCTTAGCACCTGTAAGTTCAACAACACCCACAGATAGGAGCCAGCCACACAACTCCACAAAGCAGCAGCGGTCAGTGGTCTGTGATACAGCCAGTGCTTTCTGCAAGAAAGGTAGTTGAATAGAGCTGAGAAGGTGAACTAAGTTTACGTCTGATAAAAAATTGAACTTTCATGTTGGGCTGTGCCAAAGAGGAGTAGCATGTTTAATTTAGGACTTCAATATTTCTTTAAAGCTTAAAATAAGTATTCCTTAAGTATTATTATTAATGCAACGTGTGTTATGTCAACATGTAGGCATATTTGAAACTGCAAGTAATCTGAAATAAAAAACTTTAAATACTACTGAGATGCCACTTAAAACCTTGTATCTCTTTTCATATATTTTCTATGCTTATTTACAAAAAGAAGATCCTACTGTAAGTACTGTTTTATAAACTATCTTTTTCACTTAATGTGTCTTGAAGATGTAAATAAACATGCATCTTTAATATCATTTAAAAACAATCTTTGGCCTGGCTGGAGTGGCTCAGTTGGTTGGAACGTTGTCCTGTGCACCAAAAGGTTGCAGGTTCGATTCCCAATCAGGGAACATATCTGAGTTGGGAGTTCAATCCTGGTGGGAGCATGTACTGATAGCAACTGATCATTGTTTCTCTTTCACATTGATGTGTTTGTTTTTTCTCTCTAAAATCAATAAAAAAAATCCTCAGGTGAGGATTAAAAAAAAGAATCCATCAATTAATGCATAAATAAGTAGAACAACAGCACAATGTTTCTCTCTCTCTCTCCCCCTCTTCCTTTCTGTATCTAAAAAATCAATTACAAAAATGATCTTTATGTTTTAAATTTTATTTCTCTTTTCATTTTTTATGTCCTATCTAGGAAATCCTTTGAAACTCATACACTTAATCACTGCATTACTTAAGATTCTCCAAGAAGTAGATACAAGATGGGATTAGATGTGCAAGAGCCTTTTTGTAAAAACACCTGTGAGGGAAAATTGTGAGGAAACAGAGGAAAGGACTGGAGTGCTGGTACATTGTGGAGGAAAGGAGGAGAATGTAATGCAGTGTAAGAAAGTTTTTGATAAGGCTAGAATCCTTTAGCCAGAGTCAACCACTCGTCAGAGGAGTTTGGTGTCTGACGGCGATAGGCCTGCTCGAGTCTCCCTGCCACAATCCTGCCTGTGGGAAATGTGGTGGATTCATAATGCAGCAGCCGGGGCATCAGTATTATGCTCAGAGATCTGAGAGGCAACCTCATGGCTACCACAAACACCATCTGTGCTTAAAAAAACACACACTTGTTACTATTCATTCATTGATTCGTGACACATCGAGGGCAAAATATGATTACAATGTGGTGCTCACATTCTAGTAATTGGCTTCAGTTATAGTGAATTATCATGAATAGTGTTTCAGAAATTAGAAACAAAAATAGACAGATTTCCAAAATCCCCTGAGGCAGATCTTCAGAGTATGGCTTTATTATTTTGTTTGAAATGATTTTACAGATTCTAGGGTAAGTTCTGAGAATGGGGTTTGGGTTCTTCCTCTTTCTGTAGTACTCATTCTTGTATTTATCTTACCTAATGCAGAAAATTTGGGTGAGTTTAACATAATAAATTAAAATCTAAAATGTGGAACAATAACTGCATTTTTAAAAAAATATTTTTGAGAGTAAGAACAATGTACACATCCCCAAGTACACAATTTTCCCTACTTTCCTATCATCTATCCTTTATTTTACATATATGATCATGTATTAATTTTTCTGTGGTTGCTGTAACAAATTACCACAAACTTTGTGATTTAAATCAACACAAATGAATTATCTTAAAATTCTGGAGAAGTCAAGTCTGAAATGAGTCTGGGCTAAAGTCAAGGGCTGCATTCCTTCTGGTGTGCTAGGTAAAATCCATTTCCTTTCCAACTTCTACAAGTTGCCCATAGGCATGTAGATCTTTTCATCTTGAGTCAGCAATGGTGGGAAGAATTCTTCTCATGGCATGCCACCTTTCTTCTGAGATAGATACAGCTTCGGTTGCCTTATGTTTCTCTGATTTTTGACTTCTGCCTTCTTGCACTTTTAAGGACCCTTGTGACTTTATTTGGCCCACTAGGATAATCCAGGACAATTCATTATTTTCAAGTTAACTAATTAACAACCTTTATGCCAACTGCAATCTTAATTCCCTTTTGTCATTTAATCTTATATATTTCCAGGTTTCACAGATTAGCACATGAACATCTTTAGGTGGGGTAGGGGAGGAAAAGCATTATTCTACCTACTACAGGCCTTATAGCCAAGGTCTCCAATAATTAAAAATAGTTCTGGTGTCTTAATTTTCTTTTGGATATGCGTGTGAATGGTTCTAAAGGTTTATTATTCTTAGGCTATTTTTCATAGCATTTAGTAACTATACATGATCATATCAAGGAAGTTATTATTATTTTTTTAATCTTATTAGGGAAGGGGTAGGATACCTGCCATTAAGAAAATGAACAGAAAAATTTGAACCCACACACTAGGGAGCTGGGGAATCTGCACAAGATCTGGGCTGGTGAAGCCCAGCTCCACACTGCAGTGGGCTCCCAGTCCCTGTGCTCTACCCAGGCCCAGCAGCAGAGTTGCTTGAGGTGCTCTTGCTTGTCACAGGGATTCTAGAGTTGACCAAGGAAAGCTATGTGGGCCTGGAAAGAATGGCGCAATCAGTGTCCGGCTTAGTCAGGAGGCAGTCTGGGAGTGCACGGTCATGGCCACCTCATGAAGATGTGTGGCAAGTGGCTCTCAGGAAAAAGACTGAGTCTGGATCATCCGTGTGACAGTTGTGCAGAGGGGGATGACAGCTCCAAACTAGAACTGAACTGCTCTCCACACACTTCACCTGCAGTGATGAGGGCAGCCTGTCCACGTGTGAGTGGTAGGTTTAAAGATAAGGGGATGATTGCTTGCTACGTGTCCTTGGGCTGCTCAAGCTGAACGGTACGTGACCACTGTTTTCAAGGGACTAGCCCAATGTGGCTGGTTTGGTTCAGAGCTTGTTTCATCCCTAGCAGTGAGTGCCTTTTGATCTGGAAAGTTAGTTTGTCTCATAACCCCCACAGCTAGGACATTCTCTATGTAATTATGAGTTGTGATTATTTTACATTAAAAGAGAATGTCTGATCACTGGAATTTGTCAGTGTTGGATTTTTCCCACGGTGAGATTCTTAAACTTTTCTTGTTTCATAATTAATATTAAAGCAATTCATGTTAGAGATCCTTTCAATATGAAAGGTTTGTAATGGAGACAGATCATTTTATTGTTTATAATAAAAATCATCTCTGCATGGAAAAAAAACCCACCCAGCCCCAGTCAGGCACATGCAGGAAATAACCAATCAATGTGTTTCTCTCACATTGATGTTTTTCTTTCTCTCTCTTCCCCTTCCCCCATCCCTTCCACTCTCTCTAAAAATCAATGGGAAAAAATACCCTTGGGTCAGGATTAAACAAACAGAAAAAAAATACCATGTCATAAAAACAAAACTAATTATAACTAACATTAACATGGCTATATTTCAAAAGGAATGTTAAATGGAAACAAGAAGTTGGAGTACAGTGTATACATTATAATGCCATTTTAATTTTTAAATAAGCAAAATGACATTCCCTATTATTTATAGAGTTACACTTATGTGGTAAAGATGTTTTAAAATAAAAGGGCAAGACCCACACCAAGATCCAAATAGTGTTACCTTTGAGGAGAGAGGGAAATGAGTAGGTTTGGGAGGGACATTAAAAGGACTTCCAGGTATTCACATTGGCTAAACCTAGGTGTTGAGTTTATGAGTGTTTATTATATTACTTTCTCTGCTTCTTGGTATGTTTGAGATAGTTCATACTTTTAAAGCATTTAAACATTCCATTTCCTTTTGTTTATAAAGTAATCACTTAAGTATATGCCATCACTTGGCATGAATAGGAAATGAAAAGAATGCCTTCTATTAATCTGCAATTGCCATATTTTCTGGTATATCCTTTGTTGCACCAGTGTTTTTGTAAAACACTGGCTTGTGGCACCGATTAAAGTCTACTGTCTCATGGTTTATGTGGACAGTTATTTTTGTGGGTGTTAAATCACATTGCTGCAGAGGGAGAACACTGGTGGTCTCGGGAACAGGAAATTAAAAGAAGCACAGTACGTAATTTAGTCTGCTACCCCTTCCCCAATTTAAAAAATCCAGACTTTAACCAGTTCAATGGAGAAAGGATATCTATACTATTATAATAAAAGGGTAACATGCAAATTGGTCACGACTCCTCACAGTAACAACAACTGACCAGCAGGCTGCGTGGGGCGACCAGGTCAGCAGGGGGGTTAGTGAGTGACGACCAAAGGACTGAGCAGCGGACTGTGTGGGGCAACCAGGCCAGCAGGGGAATTAGCTAGGGATGACCAAACGACTGACCAGCAGGCTGCGGGGGTGGCCAGGCTGGCGGGGGGGGGGGGGGGGGGGGGGGGGGGGGGGGGGGGGGGGGGGGAGGGGGTAGTGAGGGGCAACCAGGCTGGCAGAGGGGGGCAACTAGGGGTGACCAGGCCAGCAAGGGAGATAGTTGGGGGCAACTAGACCAGTCAGGGGTGGGTAGTTGGGGGCAACCAGGCTGGCAGGGGGCGGCAGTTAGGGGTGACCAGGCTGGCAGGGAGGGCAGTTATGAGTGATCAGGCTGTCAGAGGGCACTTAGGGGTGATCAGGCAGACAGGCAGGCAGGTGAACAGTTAGGAACCAGCAGTCCCAGATTGTGAGAGGTATGTCCAACTGCTAGTAGTTGGATATCCCCCAAGGGGTCCCAGATTGGAGAGGGTCCAGGCTGGGCTGAGAGGACCCCCCCCCCCCCCAGGCACAAATTTCATGTACTGGACCTCTAATTAAGTTGTAATTGTTCACACCCTTCCTTCTTTTTTTAAAACTATGGAACATTTCATGAATTTGCATGTCATCCTTGCACAGGGCCTATGCTAATCTACTCTGTATCATTCAAATTTTTTTGTATATGTGCTGCCGAAGCAAGCACTGCACCCTTCCTTCTTATTCTCTGACCTGAGTTATTTCATATATCTCTGTTTTGTATAGCTGCCATCCTCAGTTAGGGATTTTGTTTTTGTCTTTTTGTTGAATTTAGTTAACATTTCCATGTATCCACCTAGTCCCCACACTAGTCAGTGTTCCATAGTTTTCCATCTTGATAATACACTGCCATTTGCTTAGCCTTACTGCATTGTTGAACTTTTGAGATTTTTCCAGCTTTCCAGAATTATAAATAGCATTTCTATGACCATCTTTGTACAAACTATTTTTTTTTCTGGTCATTTCCTTGAGGTATAATCCTAAAGTGGAATTAAGCCAAAGGGTATGACTTTAAATTAATATACCAATATTATATCAATTTATCTTAGGCTCAACAATATTGGGTTTACACATTTAATATATTTTCTAAATTTACTAGGAATATAATGATTATTAAAAGACATTTCTTTGTTTCAATTCTGCATGCAGTATGGGCAAGTTGGGTGGGGACTACTGTGTTTTGTTTTGCTTTTATTGTTTGTTTTTAAAAATATACATTTTGATTGATTTCAGAGAGGAAGGGAGCAGGAAAGAGAGAAACATCAACAATGAGAGGGAATCATTGATTAGCTGCTTCCTGCACGCCCCCAACTGGGGATCAAGCCCACAACCCTAGCATGTGCCCTTCACCGGAATCGAACCTGGGACCCTTCAGTCCACAGGCCAATGCTTTATCCATTGAGCCAAACCAGCTAGGGCTCCTTATGGTTTTTGCTGGGACAGCTTGACTGGGTCTGGAGGATCCAAGATGCTTGACTCACATGTCTGGCACCTCAGTTTCCCCTTTTACTCCAACAGGGAGGTTGGACTCAGGAACCTTAAGAAAGCAAAAGTCAAAGCTGTCCAGGCCTACAACTGGCAGGATGCCACTATTACTGCATTCAAATGGACAGAGCCAGCCAGATTCAAGGAGAGGGGAAATAGACTCCACTATGGATGAAAAGAAATGTTAAGTGTGAACAGGGATTGGGAGGGTTCAAGCAGGGAAAATATGGTGATCATGTGGTAGATAAATAATATCGGTTGGAATCATTGAGTGAAGGAACAAATGAATGAACAAATGAATAGATTAATAAAAAACATAGAACAGAAAATATTTTTAAATATATAGATAGTACATAGATAATAAAGTGTTTTAATTTTTTTTTATAGGGAATGTATTTAACAGCAGAGACTGACAACTTTCAATTTTGTACTAAAAGAGAGGCTGAGGGAAGTAATGGATATTCTACATCAAGACAGATTGTGTCGGGCTAGACCGGAGTGTGTAAGGCGGGGTCATTTCAGCAAGACCGGGGGAAGTAGCCACAGCAGTGCCTAAGGCAGGCAGGACAGAGGTCAAGTTTGGAAAGGTCAGCTCTGGGAATTTGGGGCAAGAGTAGGAGCAAGAAATGATGAAGGTTCTGCAGGACCAGGCAGTAAGTTTAGATCAGCAAGGACAGGAACATGAGAAACAAAAAGGGACTCAGGTCAACAGTAGACAAGATACTGGCCATCAGCATCAAGTGTAGTGCTTGACCTGGGCATTCTGCTGGGCTTGTCTGATGCTGGGTAGGGCCTGGAGCCCGGGTTAGGGCTGGGCAGTACCTGTGACCTAGAGAATTCTCAGGGAAGGATGGCTGTGTGAGCCTTTAGCAGCTGCAAAGTGGGTAAAGGGATCCACATGGAGCAGTAGAGTATTTACCACATGTGGAATTGATAATTGATAATTGGGTGACTAAGGAGAAGTAAAGTGATGAATCTAGAAATGATAGGATATACTGCTCTGTTGGTGAGAAGGGATGAAAAATGTGAAATTATACCATGAAAAGCATTTGAAAAAATTCAAGCTCCATTCTTAGTAAAATCCTATATAATAAATAGGTAATATGCAAATTGACCATCACTCCAGCACACAAGATGGCTGCCCCATGTGGACACAAGATGGCCACCACAAGATGGCCAGCAAGGGAGAGCAGTTGTGGGCAATCAGGCCAGCAGAGGAGGGCAGTTGGGAGGGTCCAGGCCTGCAGGGGAGGGAAGTTGGGGGGAACTAGGCCTGTAAGAGAGGGCAGGAGAGGCTGTGCTTGCCAGCCATCAGCCTGGCTTCTGGCTGAAGGGGGCTCCCCCTGTGGGAGCACACTGACCACTAGGGGGCAGCTCCTGCATTGAGCATCTGCCCTCTAGTGGTCAGTGTACATCATAGCGACTGGTCATTCCACCGTTTGGTAGATTTGCATATTATCCTTTTATTATATAGGATTGTTAAAATATATTGTTGAATAAAAAGAATCAAGATGTATGCTCTGCTATTTTTGGTGATTTTCAAAAACAACAACATATATGCATAGAAAATCTATAAGGAAACTGAAAACAATAGATGCTTCCAGAAATGTGAACTGGGTATTTGGGAGAATAAGATAAAAAAGAAACTTTTAATATTACATTGTTTTGTTCCTTTTGAATTTTATGCCTAGTCAAAAATTAATGTAAATAAACAAATGGACAAAAGAGATGGACCCAAATCAAGCATTTAAAACAACACAACTGACCACAAACTTTTATAAATAGCAACTATAGGAAAAAGTCATCTCCTTTTCCCAAAAAAGGAAAAATAAAGAAAACTATGGATTATTATCTGTAGGAAAGTGTGTCAGAGATAAATTATCTCCCTTTAGCCTATAGCTATGGGACAAAGGGGATATTCCTTTGATGTTTTGTCCAAGAAAATAATTGTTACAACATTCTCTGAGTTCTAATCAATTTTTTATTTTATGGCTTGCAAGGGCTTGTCTCCTAATGGGCTGGCGGTAAACACCAGGGTGCACCACTGCTGAGCAGACTAGCAGGCAAACCAGGCTCCCAGGCTCTCAGTGTTTGCAGAGAGGCTTGTTCAGGCTGAGGTGTGGCTGAAGCCACTTCGGGATTGTACACCAGCAGAAAGGACAATGACATCCCTTGTGCTCTTGTTTTATGTGGCAAGCATGAGGGTGTCCTGTGTGGCTCAGGGATAAATGTGCCTTGGCACAAAGCAGTCTGAGCATAGGTGAAAGCTGCCTAGAACCTGGAGACTTTGATAGCGTGGGTGGTCACCACTCTCCTAGGAAACTGAGTTGGAGGGTACACATCTCACTGAAAAAAAGGGGGAGTTTAAGCCAGTTCAAACCTGTTCACTCATTGGAAAATTCTTACTGTTGGCCTTCATAGGGTTTCAAATAGATCCCTAACTACCCTTATTTCACTGCCCTTTCAATAATTATTCTATTGGAAACAAGAATCTCATGGAGGCCGCTTTTTCATTACTGGATTGCAAGCCCCTTTGCCATAGCAAATCATACAGATATGTCTCGGCATGCTCATGAAGTAGTTTTAATAACATGCATTATGGGTGGCCTCTATAAGCAATTGTTCCCACTATTTTAACTTCTTCCAGAAAGAGTAGTTCAGATTTCAGCTTCTGCCTTCCGTGGTCATTCACTAGAATTCAAATTAGCTCCATATCACAGGTCAAGTTGTGTAGGTTACTGGCTGCACAGTTTGCAGCTAATTCACTCTGGCAGGCACGTCAGGAAATTATGCTGTTCAGCATCAAATGTTCCACAGGAACATTACCGGACTTTTTCTATGGCTGAGAGGCTAAATTAATGATACCTGCTCTAAAAGTTTTCCACATCAAGCTTATTTATGTAAACCAGGCTCTGCCAGCCCAAGCACCACTGATAAGACGATGAATCTCATGCAATTCAAATTTGTATGTTTCTAGTACCTCAGCCAGATACTAGAATGGAGGTAAAGGTGATTCTTGAGGGAAAATTCTGGCTTTGGCTCAGGTATTCTGCAGTTCACATTCCCTCAGAGCAGAACTTGGGGCAAGGTTTTCAACTTGATTAACAGATGTTAGCCTTGCCCCCTGCTTGCCTGATGTACAAGATGTAGTATCTTCTGTCAGTCAGCAACATAAAATCCTAACACTACATTCTAGTTGGAGATGAATTCTGGATTGTCATTATTTTACTTTCTTAAAATGTTAAGCAGAGGAAAATGATATTTAGTCAAGATTGTTTAAGGAGCATGTTATCCATCTACTTTTTGGTGACTTTTAAGGGTTGTACTTGTATTTCATTAGATTGTTGTAAAGCTCTATACTTATGCAACATTAACTAAGTCCTCTCCAGATTCCCCATTACTGAGTTTATCTTTTAGAGAGTGCAAGGACCAAATTTGCTATGAAACTATTGTCTCCTACAGAAGGCATTACATAATGTGTTTATTTTAGGGTTTAGTAATAGAGGGGAAAGCCCTTCTGAAAAATTGGTTTCTTTATTTTCCATTTTAAGAGTAATATTGGATTAGTCTTCTTTTTTTGGTGGCAGAAACAGAATTAGTAATCTTGCATACTTGCCATGTTAGCCTTTGGGGCTAGAGTATATGCTTCCTCCTCCTTTTTATAATTTTGGTATTATATTTCTGTCCCAATAAATGTGTTCACATGTGTCTCTTATTGGAAGCTATATATGGCCTATATTTAGTTTTAGATAAGGTAGGGGCTATGAATTTATTTTACCATAAAATAATTTCATAAAACAATATTATGTTTATTTTAAAAGATAACAACTATAAAGCAATAACGAAAAATGAACAACAACAGCAGATTGTATCCATGCAAGAAAAAAGATTTTAAAAATAAAAAATTCCTGATAAAGAAAAAGTACTCAAGATTTGTTTTGTTTCATTCTAACATTCATTCTAGAATTCATTCATAACAGTAAAATATTAGATAAACTTACTGATTTTCTAAATACAATACATTAGTATGCTCCATGTTGGAAGTTGGGAGATTCCACAGAAGGATAGGAATTAGGAAAAGGACAGGAATGGGGAGGGCAGTAGGTGTTCTACATCCATTAAAATGTATGCATACCAGTTTAACCTGCTTTGGTGGGTCAGGTCTGACTCTTCCTGGCCTGG